ACCACCTCTCAGCCATCTTCGCACCTCACTCCACCTTCCTTGGCCACTGTCAGATTCTTATCTTTCAGAACTCAGGTCAAAAATCTTTTCTTCCAGGAAACAACACAAATTCTTACTGTATCTTTTGTTTTATCGCTGAAGTACATGCTTAGCTGTTATTTCATAATCCCAGCACTTGGGAGACTGAGGCAGAACGATGGCTATGAGTTTGAGGCCAGACTGGGCTACACAGTGATTTCAAAGCCAGCCTGAACTACATAGTGAGATCCTGTCTGAAAAAACAAAACAAAACAAAAAAACCCTATTTCATTTATCACACTGTATTTCAATCATCTGTTGCCTCAAGTTGACTATGGATTCCTTTAAAGGGCAGCGAAATTTCCTCTTTATGTACCCAGCACTGCCAATTACTTGAGGTACTTTGTATCTATGAAATGAATGAATGCTCTTGACTTCTATATCTTAATTGACTCATACTTTCCACTGCCAAAGTTCAGGCCTTTTCTTCTACTCCTGTCTTCTTGCATGTCTTTCTGCCTCCAGCTTATCAATCTTTGTAAATGTCTATTTTTTTTTTTTTTTTGGTACCGGGGATCGAACTTGGGACCCTGCACTTTCAAGGCAGGTGGTGGAAACAAAGAGCTAAATCCCCGGGCCTGTAAATGTCTTTTTTTAAAAAAATAAATTCATAAGACTCAACTAAATGGTCCATTTCTAAGCCTGGAACTCTGTTCAGTAATTTTATTTTTTATTTCTTGGTACTGGAGATCGAACTCAGGACCTTGTGCTTTCGAGGCAGGCACAGTGCCACTGAGCTAAATCCCTGGCCCTGTCCAGTAATTTTAAATATTCACTTCTGCTTACACTGTTTTTATTATTTTCTCTAAAAGAAAGACCCTTCTTTAAAAAATAGAATAAAAAACCAAACTGCTAGCTTTGGAAAAGATAACATCACTTTGCTTCTGTGTTATATCAGTTCACCATGGACTTTAGTATCAGAATAATGAGTTGCAATCTTAACTCTGCAATGAGACATGGACTTTAAAAAAGGAATTAAAATATGATCAGCCCTCAGTGCTATCTCCCCTTACACTACCTTTCCCAGGATCTTTGTGTATTCCTGAAAGTGGAAAAACTTGAAAGCTGCCCAAATATCTGCTCCCAGAAACACATTTCACACATGGAATGCTAGCAATACCAAAAGAAATCCCAACTATCATTTTAATGCAGATGTTGTAAACACTCAATTGTTTCATGGACTAATGGCACAGAAACAGGTATGATAATCAAGACATCATTTTTACTTTGCATAAGATCAGCATTGGGTCCTTTGCTTAGATATAACTAAACTGATTTATCTCCAGTATGGCACATAATAAGAAAAACACAAGAAGGGTTTTGGTTTGGTTTTGATTCAGGAATGGTCTTAGAGCATTTCCTTCTATTTAAACTTCATTTCTCTAGCTACAGGGTAGCAATATGGAAAGTCACAACACTACTCAAAATTAGTCCTACTTTTGAGGCCAGGTATGTTAAAAACTGAGCCCTTCCCATAACACTATAAGAAAGATTATCACAGAGGAAAGAAATCAGCATAGGGTCTTCTCATCATAGCTACATTGAAATAGTAAGATAGTTCAATACATGAATCTTTTTTTTTTTCGGTCGTGGGGATCGAACTTGGGACCTTTCACTTGTGAGGCAGGTGGTAGATAACGCATGAATCTTTATGCCAAAAATTCTAGGCCAATCTGTTAACTAGGATAACAAAGTACAAACACTAGATTCTAATAGCCTTCTTCATTCCTTAACTTAGATTTAGAGGCAAATATTCATAGTACCCGTGAAACCAAGATCTAAATGAATACACTTTTAATAAGAAAAACAAGAGACCAACAGAAAAGAAAACAGGCTACTTGTACATTAATGCTTAGCCACAGTCATAGTCATTCACAATGTTGAAGAGGTCCATGTTCTCCCTGTGAGTCTCTCATAGTGGCCCAACCTCAGCTGACAAAGTCAATTAACCAATGGCCTCCTTCCTTGACCTCAATCAGAACTTAAAAGAGAGCTGCCTGAATTTTGCAGCCTCAGCATACCAGTAGCAGTTCCATTCATTGCAAGAGGCTGGACACTGAACACTGGAGAGAACAGGACAACAGAGCTGTGTCTGCCTTGCTCTCTGTTAAGGTCATATAAGCACAAACTAGTGGTCAGAGCTTAGCCCAGATGGGCAAAAGTCTTTGAGAAGATATTTCTTCCTCCGGTTAGGTGAAGAACTGACAATCTACTTGTCCATTTCATATCCACAGAAACCCTCATCAGTCTCTGTGTGCTCTTTTTCTGGTGGGTGGTGGTACACTGGAGACTTGTTAGTGCACCCTCTGCTCACTCCATGCCACTTTTTCTCTGCCAAATGCCACAGGACACTGTGGGTCTTAACTGAAGTCTCCAGAACAGCAGGAGCATCACTTTGGAACTTGTTACTGGTGAAAAAGCCCCTCCCAAGAGCTTCTAAATCAGAAATTCTAACTGTAAATGTCCTTTTTAAAGGACGTAAACTCCAAAGCAGAATTTTGATCATACTGTGCTTATCCTGAAACCTCTTACTGCCATTAGCCCTTGTCTCATTTTCCCTGCTGCTCCAGTAGCTCACAGCAACCCACTGATTTCCAAAAGACAGCTCAGCTCCATCCTTCTTCCCAATCAACTGAGACCTGGAGCAGGCAGTGAACAACCAGTCTCCACTCAAAACTTCTCCCTCACATCTAATGCTTACTAGCACCAGACAACCTTCCAGAACCAAACTAGGATCTGATGGTGTTGATGGTACGATTCCCATATTATCAAGTCACTGCCCTCCCATTTTGATTTTATGGAGCTCCATTTCATGGTGGCATCGTATGACAGTGGGACAGAAATGACCCCATGGGCTGGAGAGGGGGTTCCTAACTCCCTATAATTTTAAAATAGCAATTGACTAAAAGTCAACCTGCTTTCTTATCACCATCATGACAATTCTGAACAATGCCAGAAATGTTTCCTTCCATCACCATCTAGTGGCAAGCCACTGCTGCTCAGGCATCACATCCTCTTAAAACCCACTGTCCATCCACAAACAGAATTAGTTATTTCTTCCTAAGCCCTTAATCCATGTCTGAATCTCCTCCAAGATCACAGGCATGTTAAGGAGAGGTTACCTCTAACCCTGAGTGCAGACACTCATGAACAGACTCTCCTTTCTAGCTAGCTCCTTTCTATTGTTTGCCTCTGCTGTCTAGAAAGGTCCTCAATGACTGAAACATGCTAAGTCTCAATACTCTATTATATTTCTAGAACATTCAGGCCTTACACTCAATTCTTATTCCATACTAAATGTATATAGAACATGATTTGAGTTTTAAGGGCTGCCACTCACAGAACACCATGATCTGAACACAATTTTCATTCTTTTTATTACTGAATCTTCATATAGTACTCATTTCCCTATATTACTTATATACCTCTATCACATGTAAGTCTATTTTATATGACAAAGGGCCAGGGATTTCGCTCAGTGGTGCCACCTCCTGCCTCGCAACCACAAAGTCCTGAGTTCAATCCCTGGTACCAAAAAAATAAAAAATCGAGTTCTTTATTTTATATGACAATACTCTGTATCTGATTTACTTAAATGCAAAGCCCCAGAAGGAAATTTAAATGCTCAGTTCTGTTTTAGAGATGTGAATGCAACACTTAATTCTAATGAATAAAACTAGACCCATGCTTTAGTGGTCCTGTAGTCTAGCATCTGTAGTCCTGGCTACTTGTGAGGATGAAGCAGAACTGCTTGAATCTAGGAGTTCACAACACGCCTGGGCAACACAGCAAGATCCTACTTCAAAAAAACCAAATAACAGGCTGGCAATGGTGATGCAAGCCTGTAATGCCAGCACTGGGAGGGTGAGGCAGGGGGATTGCTGCAAGTTCAAGGCCTGCCTTAACTATAAAGGGAGATTCTATCTCCAAAAAAAAAAACCCTCAAAAACCAAAACAACAAAAACTAGACAAGGTTGAAACACAAAGAGTAGAATACATTTTTATTATACAACATTAAAAAAAAATGATTCTTATCACAGAATACGTTTTCTCATTAGCAATTCCCACAATGGAAAAGCAATTACTTACAGTTTTATATTGGAGGTCAGATTATTTCAGAAAAAGCAAAAGACATTTGAGAATTCTGTTTGGAATTTGTAATATTCTGATAAATCTGCAAGATCTCTTCCCTAAATGGGTCTCTAAATTCAGAAACTCTCCAAGCTTTTCTTCCTAGGATTTAGAAATCTGTAATGTGAGATATCAGGATTTTCTAATTTTAAAGTTTCTCTAGGACACAAAATCATCATCATCTTGTACCAACTGAACAGACAGGGACATTTCCAAACATTAAATACTGTCTGATTTTCTGCAAAGTCTTTACTCATGAATAGTCTTTCCCTTCGTCTATTATTCCCAGGAAAAATACAAAAGTATGATCATGTATTGATAGTAATAAAGGTGAATTCTCCTTAAGAGACTCGATAAATTAAAGGCAAAAGCTCATACATAATGTTTAGTTATACTGAGTCTTGTGAATTGGGAGACAATTCCATTAACTCACCTGAAGGACCCTAGTTAGCAAGACAGACTCCACATTGCTGCTAAACGACCCACCTGCCTGCCCTTTAGATAAACTCAAAAGGAGGAAGCTTAGAAACCTCCTCCCCTTTGAGAGTCTCTTAGAAACAACAATTAATCAACTATTGTTTTACAAATGTTCTAACAACAGGACGTTCTGCTTCTGTACCTTTTCCTTGCTTTACTAGTTCTATCCCATAGGGGGGCCTAGAAACTGCTGGCCTCAAAGGTGTATAAAATATGTTATTCTCCCCCCAGTCGAGGCTCCAGTCCGATGCTCGGCTCGGTCCCGGCCGGTAATAAACTCCTGTGTGGATTTAATGTCGGTCTCTGGTTGGTTCTTTCGCACTGGGTACAACATCACCAAAATATACAACTCAGTCTATTTCTTTTTTTTTTTTTTTTGGTACTGGGGATCGAACTCGGATCCTTGCGTTTATGTAGCAGACAGCAAAACCACTGAGCTAAATCCCCAGCCCCAATCTCACTATTTCTTGGATATAATTCCTCTCAAATCTTTTCCTCAAAATTAAAATTCTGAAAATAACCATGTGATAAGGGCCAATGGACCTATCTGTTTTTGTTTTCTGTTGGGGTTTTTTTGGTACTGGTGATCGAACTCAAGTCCTTGTGCTTGCGAGGCAGGTGCCAGAATCACTGAGCTAAATCCCCGTCCCTAATCCGTTATTTTTTGCTTACTGTGAGCTGATAGGCATGACAGAGCAGAGGCAAAGAGACGTACAATCAATTCTTAAGGTATTAAGTCCAAAAGATCAGAGCTTCCACAGCATGGCAACAGCTTTGCATATACCCACATCATGATAGTTGAAATAACAAAGCCCAGCAAAGGTTAAAGCTGAGAGTGCCAAAAGGCCTGCCTTGGCAGCTTTCTGTGATGCATCCCCGTGAACATAGTCAGTAACAACTTGTCCAAGACCCCTAGAGAAAAAAAAAAATCACAGCACAAATTAAAAATAGTAAGTGAAGTTAGAAAACTATACAGATTACTTGGCTGCAAAGAAAAACAAAACAACAACAACAAAAAGATTCAAAATGCAATGTCTCTGTCACTCTATTAATTGGTTGCTTCTTTTTTTCTTTGGTACCAGGGATGGAACTCGGGTCCTTGCGCTTGCGCAGCAGGCGGCAAAACCACTGAGCTAAATCCCTGGCCCAATTGCTTGCTTCTTTAGGGGATTCTGTGTAACCACTTTTGTAAGTAGACTTATTTTACATATTTTTTGAGACAATAAACCAAAGCAACTCACAGTAGTAAAATCTAAACAAAAATGAAGGAATCAAGAATTTAACATATAATAAAGAAATTTCACTCTTTAGAATCAATTTTCCAGAGTCACTTAAGAGTCAGTAACTAAATGCTCCTCTATTTATAAAATGTCATTCTTAATACAAATGCTCTTCAGGGTTTTTCATTAATTAAAAAAGAATTTACTAAGCAGATATTAAGTGCCAGAAAATGTCTTAAATATTTAGAGTACAATAAATTGGCTTCTCTATTTTTATGGAGCCCAAAGTTTTGTTTCTGGTCCCTGTGTCACCTTCTCAAGAATGTTATTCTATGAAGGAAAAAGAAAAGTAAATAAATGTGTAGTATGAAGAAATATATTAGGATGACGTGAATGAGAACATTCCAACCAGAAACTGACAATGATCTTGGCATCTCTGAAAAATAGTAAAGAAGTTAGTGTGACTGGGGTACAAGAGTTAAGTAAAGATCAGAGGAAAGCAGGGGCAGATTTCACAGGGCCTGGAAAGTAATGAATAGGTGTTTAAATTTTTATTTGAAATAGGAAGGCTAGCAATGTAGCTAAATGGCAGAGTACTTGCCTAGCATATGAGGCCCTGGATTTAATCTCCAATACAGGAAAGAAGGGGGGAAAGGAAGAAGGGAAAAAGAAAAGGAAGGTATTCATCTTTTAAACTATGATTCAGTGGTTTTTCAGTACAGTCATAGAGTTGTAAACTATCATCATTTAATTGCAGAACATTTTCACCATCTCAAAAAAGAAACTCTACCAATTAGCCCATTACCAAACTAGTAATTTGCTTCTGTCTCTATGCATTTGCTGTATGTGTGTGTGTTTGTAGGCGTGCATGCACACGCTTATGTTATTGGGGATTTAGCCCAGGGCCTCTGCATTGAGCTACATTCAGTCCCTTTTTCTTTTTTTGGTACCAGGAATTGAACTCAGGACCTTGTGCTTGAGAGGCAGGTGGCAACACCACTGAGCTAAATCCTGGCCCCTTGGTCTTTTTTTCTTTGGGAGATAAAGCCTTACTAAGTTGCTAATATCTCCAGCTTGGCTCAAACTTGCAATCCTCCTGCCTCAAACTTTCAGAATGCTGGGGTTACAGCCATGCCCCAATATGCCAGGCAATCCTGCACATTTCACATAAATTAAATCATATAATAAGTGGTTTCTGTGTGAAGCTCCTTTCATTTAGCATGTTTTCAATGTTCATCCATATTGGAGCAGGTATTAGTACCTCACACTTTCCTATGACTGAATAATATTCCATTCCATAATATGGCATATTTTGTTTGGGTATTTACCAGTTGATGAACATTTCAACTGTATGACTAATGTGGTATGAATATTCTTGTACAAGTTTTTGTGTGGACACATATCTTGGGCATATATTTAAAAGTGCAATTGCTGAATCATATGGTAACTTTTGTTGTAACTGCCAAAGTATTTTCCTAAGTAGCTGCAACATTTTACATTCCCAACTTTTCCACATCCTCAGAAAAACCTGTTATTGCTCATCTTTTTCACTTCAGCAATCTTTTTTTTTTGTACCAGAGATTGAACTTAGGACCTTGTGCTTGTGAGGCAGGTGGCGGCACCACTGAGCTAAATCCCTAGCTCACTTCAGCCATCTTAGGTAGGTATGAAGTGGTATCTCACTGTGGTTTTTTGTTTGTTTTGTTTTTTTGGTACCGGGGATCGAACTCAGGTCCTGGCACTTGCGCAGCAGGCAGCGAAACCACTGAGCTAAATCCCCAGCCCTCACTGTGGTTTTTTTATTTACATTTCTCTAATGACAAATGATATACAACTGTTGGTGTATATACTGACCATCTGTATGTCATCTTTGGAGAAATGTAATTTTTAAAAAGGTCACTCTGGTTATAGCATACCAAAAGGACAGCAGGAAGAAAGGACAAACAGGAGGTGGGGGGGAAGAGACAGAGACAAGAGACAGCTTGGTCTCACTATGAGCAGCTAGGATTATAGGCATGAAGCATAAATCATAGTCTAGATCACCCAGAGTCTGTAGACCACTGTAAGAATTCTTTTAGTTTGAGTAAGATAAGGAGATAAAGAAGAGCTATGAGAAGTGTAATGTCTTGTCCTGTCTTAACATTATAAAATTACTGGAGCTGCTGTGTTGGTAAGAGACACAAAGGGGACAAGTTAGGAAACCTACCATTGGAATAAAAAATGACAGGTCTGGGCTTGAACAAGAGCAGAAGGGAAGTGCCATTAATTCAGATGTGCAAGAGTACAGGAGGAACAGATCTGGGGGAAGCTCAGGAACTCAGTTTTATAAATGCTATATTCAAAACACCTACTAGATATGGAAATGAAGACATCAACTAGGCAGGTAAATACATAAATCTGGGTATATAGCTATTTTGTTTATATATAAATTTTCCATAGGTCTTGAATATCTCATTCGACTTCTCCCTCACAGACAATACATAAGATAAGCTTGCAGGCAACATAACACTGAAAGGACTGCTATACTTGCCAGTGACTGTGGAGAGTAAGAGCTGCAGCCAGGGAGTAGTCCACTACAGAGCAAGGATTCAAATATGCAGCTGGAAGCAGGCCCAGGAGCAAAACACTGACTACTCTCTCACTAGTCCAGTGGAGAGATGCAGCCTTGGAACCAGCTACAAAAAAGACCAGATTCATAAGAGTTGAAGGAAGATATACATATCTCTCAAATCCAACATTTATCACGTAATAACCTAAACTGACAAAAAGGTAAACAGTATAGATAAGATTTAACTCTGTATACTTTCTTTGAAGTCTTTTAGTACAAGAATGTCTTAATACCTGTGTATAATAATAAGAAAACAGATCCACTTTACTTCTAGGCAAGAAGGTAGATGAAATCTCTTTGTGCAATTAAGCCAACTTTGGACTTCAGTGAAATTTACAGCTACCTTAAAAATTTAAGTTAGTGGGCAGGGGATTTAGCTCAGTGGTTCCAGCACCTGCCTTGCAAGTGCAAGGTCCCGAGTTCGAGCCCTGGTACCAAAAAAAAAAAAATTCAAGTTAGTGATGCCTGATGAATTCCTTTAAAATAACACTTGTTTATCAACACTGGGTTTTTTTTGTTTGTTTTTTTGACACAGAGTCTTGCTATGTAGTTCAGGCTGGCCTCAAACTCATGGTGATTCAACTGCCTCAGTCTCCCAACTGCTGGGATTACAGGCATGTGATGGCATATCCGGCTTTATTGACACCTCTTCATCTTTGAAAGTAATGAATATTATCCACCTAAAACAAAATTAATCGAACTAACTCAAACAGAAGCAAAGGTCTGAGGTCCATTTAGGATCATGGTCCTTCTATCCCATTATTTACAAATAAGTCCAAAACAAGTGAGATACAAAAAATAAAAACAAATGAAAAACTATATGGGGTTTAAACATTTCTTTGAGAGGCTATCTTTTTCTGAGGTTACACACTACTTTGAGAATCTAATAAAAAAAGGAAGTTTCTTCCCAGAAAGTATCACATAGGCACATATATAAAAATACATGAATACAATTTCAGGACATTTTCTTCAATGCTTCTCCAGAACCACTTTGCTAAATCTAACTTGAACTAAGCAAAATAATCCAAAATAAAACTTTTTCAAAGACAGAAAAAATCTTCAAAAAGAAAAATAAAACAAAACAAAAAACTATACTCCCCTAATCTCTCCTAACTCAGAAATAACTCTTAAGTGGTTGACTTAAGAATCAAGAGAAGGGGGTTGGGGATTTAGCTCAGTGGTGCCGCCGCCTGCCTCACAAGCACAAGGTCCAGAGTTCGATCCTTGGTACCAAAAAAAAAAAAAAAAAAAATCAAATAAAACAACAACAAAAATGAAAAAAAAAAGAATCAAGAGAAGGGGCCAGGGATGTAGCTCAGCAGCACAGCACCTGTGTGGCAAGCGCAAGGGCCTGAGTTTGATTCACAGTACAAAAAAAAAAAAAATTTTAAAAATCAAGAGAAGTCTTGAGTACTGACCTCTTTAGACTTTAAAAATGGAAATACACTTATCATTCACCTTCAGATTTTCTAAGACTAATTTGAATAATACCTAAACAACAATTATTTAGGAAATGTCATATGGTTGTTTTGGGGTTGTTTTTTTTTGGTACTGGGGATCAAACTCAGGTCCTTGTACTTGCGCAGCAGGCTGCAAAACCACTGAGCTAAATCCCTGGCCTGGAAATGTCATATGGTTTTAAATCAAACTAAAAAAAAAAAAAAAAGCAATACACATGATATAACCCAGAAGATATGAGTATTAAAACTATTTCAATTATTCACAACTGGTTCTGTTCCATTACCTAACTAAATACAAGTGATTTGTACAGTGAGGCAGCAAGCTTACAGAGCTATTTCAAGAAAAATTTTTTTAAAATTTAAACTTAGGCCAAAAGAGTCACTATTAATATAAATGGCACCATTCACCCATGCTGTCCCAAGCTATAAACTAGGTCTTCATTTGCCAGAGGTAAACATGAGAATCCAGCCAAATCTGAAGTCCAAAATAGGACAGATATCAAGTCCTACCAAAGGCATGATAAATAGTTCAGCTAAAGATGATCAGAACCCAGAAAGCAGAGGGGTTGGAAAGAACATACAATGACGGCTTGGTGACACATGAATGTGCTGTGCTCCACACCACCCTGGAGAAAATCGGTCTTGGAGAAATGCTGAGACATGAGCAGGTTTGACCACTGTAGTTCGAAGGAACAGACCTGAGGAAAACATTAAAGAGATCACAAGCACCTCTTTATCAGGACTGGGAGACTTTCTAAATGACAAAAACCAAGCTACTTAGCCTTAAATAGGTGATATCTCATGTATAACATTAACATTAGGACAGCATCATTTCACTGACTTACTATAAAGTTGGACTGAGTAGCCATCAAAAGACTGAAGAATCAATGAATCACTTACAGAAAAGGGTTTTGGTTTTATTTTTTAAAATAAATGCTAACTTCTTTCTCTTTCCATCTATTCATCTATTTATCTAATATTTACAAAATGTAAGACTGTGGTTGTCATAGGAACAAGACAGAGCACAGAGTCTGCTTTCACAGAGCTCAGTCCAGCCTGGAAAGTTCAACCATTACCTTCTTTTCTAAGACCGATGTCTCCACTTACTTTTACATACTGACACACACACACACACCCAGTATTAGGGACTGAACCCATACAGCACTGGACTATACCCCCAGGAGCTTTTATTTTTTATTGAGATGGGGTCTCACTAAGTTGCCCAGTCTGGCCTCAAACATGTAATTCTCCTGCCAAAACCTCTAGAGTAGCTAGGATTATGGGCATGTGCTCCACTTGTACCCCTGAACTATCCCTTTCTGTCCCATTTTAGATCTTGCCTCTTGGTTAAAGAACAGACAGAGCCAAGCCAGGGATTTAGCTCAGTGGTTCTGGTGCCTGCCTTGCAAGAGCAAGGTTACGAGTTCAATCCCCGTACCAAAAAAAAACAACAGAGCTAAATTCACCCAGCCATATCACTTATTAGGTGTGAGATGACAAGAAACTAATTTAAATAAGCTCTACAAATCTCAATTTCCTCATTTGTATAAGGGAAATAACCGCACTTACTTCACAATACTCTATATAAAAAGTTAGACAACGCATGCAAGATGTTTAGCACAGTTCCCAGAATGTTAAAGGCACTCAGACACAAAGAAGGTAATTTCTTATTTTCTTTAAATTCTTCCTTCCCTTTGGGCACTTTACCTCACCTGATGTATCATACTTAACCACTCTCTTGACACCATGTCCTGTAAATAAAGACCACACACTTTTCCCCACCCTTTCTTCTTTCTCTTTCCAATCTTATTTCCAGAAAGTGCTGTCTAAATTACTTCCTTACTTCCCATGTTTTAACTCTGAAATATTTTTACACTTGATCTTAGCCAAAAGGCCGAGAAACAATTCTCTGAAATATTTTTATACTCCTTGTAGCTGATCTAGTAGAGGGCAATCAACAATCTGCACATAGCCATGACCAATACTTACTGTTCAACTGTAATCTTATTGGGCCTTGCTACCTTGGTCACCTGGCATTGGTAACCTCTTTTTCCTAACTTTAGAACTCTTTTTGTTTTTGGAGACAGGGTTTCACTATGTAGTTCAGGCTGGCCTTGAACTTGTGGCAATCCTCCTGCCTTGGTTTCCAATTCTCCTGCTTCAGCCTCCTGAGTGCTGGGATTACAGGTGTGCGCCAACACATCTGGCCAGAATTCTTGTTTTTATTTCTCCTGATACTCTGATCATACATTCCTGCTGTTTTCTCCAGGATCCTTTACCTGCCCATTGCTATCCTCACTTGCTATACCCACCTGGAGCCTTTCATTCATTTTTTAAAAATTAACTGTATTGGTACATTTTAGGTATACAATACAATAACATTCATCATTGGAAATTTGTACCTTTACATAATATATCTTGATTCTTATTTTTTCCCCATTCCCCTGCCCTCCCTTCAACCCCTCCACCCTTCCCTATTTACAAAGGCTTTGTTTCCATTTTTTCATTTTCTCCTATTAATTTATTCCCTTCTTTCTATTTCCCTACCGCTTACACTTCCCCTTCATTCATTCACTCTCATGGTTTCACTTACTACCTATAAACTGATGATATCCACATCTGTGACTCCTAACCTGTTATCTCTCCAGGTTCAGTTTAACTACCGGTTGAGGTTCTCCACAAATATATTTATATGCTCCTCAAACTCAACATATCAAATATTGAAATCCTTCAACTCAACTCATTTTTTTTCCTATTTTGTTCCTCACTTTATTTAATGACATCTTAGGCACCCTTTAAACTATCTCAGAATTCTGGGAGTAATATAGGACCTTTCCACTAAATTAAATCACCAGGGCTGGGGATTTAGCTCAGTGGCA